CAATGACCTCCTACAATCTCAGCACGCGCAGCAAATAACAGCACTGCCCAGGTTTGATGGGCCTCCCGGTATTCTCGCTTCTTGCTCGCTCCGGACCCCTTCACGCTCTTATGGCGACAGCCCTGCATGGCTTTAGCCCTTAGAACCACGTGGGGGTATATATTTTTCTTGATGATGTTTATATTTGCACGCAAAAGAGCCTATCGCTATAGTTCATCGACCAGGAAACCCCCCCCCTTCCAAGGGAAGCAAGTAAGTTCATTTTCAGTTGTACTTAGTTTGTAATTTAGAGTTGTGAATTTAACTAACAGTATTACATTAAAGTTGTTAGTTCACTTGATTGATTATGTTCGTAAGAGGTCGAAGCCTCAGATAGGTATTGCCTATTTTTTACGCCATTATTCGTAGAGAGTGGTCCCCTTGGAAGCTTAGGCACCACACACGTGTACTGAAAACCAGGAGAAGAAGAAATCGACAGTCAAAATACGAAATCGGTCATAGTGATTCCATTCCTTCAAAAGCATTTCGTCACGGCATTATAAAGCAGGAGTTAAGGTTTTCAGATTTCAAGGCAGAAACCGCTGTCGACGAAATGCATGAGAGCACATGTATGAAGGATTCAAACCATGTATACGTGAGGAATACCGTAACGCTCGGCCACGCTGCTACGGACGAGCCAGCCTTACGCCCCTTATTCGGGCTGATGTGAGTATGCTTTCCCTGAAAAAAAAGCTCCATACTTCGTTCTGGAAGATCCTTAACAGAGATACAATACGCTTTTGTAAGCCATGTCCAAGGATCCTTTTTTCGATACATATCACATTTCAAATGGGCACTTTGATCTACCATCCTTCTGTGGCGAGCGATTTTCACACGTCGACTGCCCTCGGGACCAGTTAGCATAAGGTAGATAATGGTGTGATAAAACGATTATCAATAGCTCCACAAACTGAGTTTATCATGTGGTGCCTGTACCTACCGTTTTTCTATCATTGGACATACAAGCTGGTGTGTTACAATACAATGGTTCCCCGCGGACTCGTTCCACCACTTTGGCTTGGAAATCCTTGAGCATGTCTGGATCGACGTCATCACCATTGATATCAACCTAAAGAAATAAGACATAATCCTGAACTCATCGCTCATCACTCACGTCTAGAAAGAAAAAACTGCCACTAGCATCCGCCTGGCTGCGTTCTTAATTATTGCGTCATCGGCGTGGTCATTATTCAAGTCCTCCCAAAAAGGTGTCATTCCATTCGAAACTGCAATATAAAGATTGTACTGTCTTCATCTCGTATTTTTTTCGGATTTTCCTAATGCTTCACTTCGGAAACTCATCCTAGCAAGATACAAACCCTATCCCTGGGTTGGGACCGGGCGTGGTAGCGCAACTGAGTTTTGGAATGGCGTCAGCTCCTTTCTCACCATTTTTTGAAGACCCTCGGTAGGGGCGATCGATGGGCTTGTTTCGCGCCGAAACCCAGTACTTATGCCAACTTCAGTACTAGAGACAGGACTCCATACGCAAGGCGCCGAACTTCAACTTGTGAGCCTGTCACAAGCGCATTAAGAACATCAACACTGACGCCGAAACCATGCTAACACATTGCTACTTGTCTGAATGAAAAAAAACCGGCGCATGTTGTTATCAGGATAGGTTTCCTCATCTTTCTGTTACCCTCGCCTTGAGCACTTCGGCAGTTTTCCTTGTTTAGTAGTGATCACTGTAATATAGAAACTCCTTTACACGTTCGCCAAAGAGAACTGAGGAGTAGCGTACAAGGATATATTTTGTTGGCTATCAACATCCTGACAACAAAGTCTGGTGTAGAAAGGAATGTCGTATTGTAATAAATCACTTTCAACGTTACGCGGTCGTGACAGCAGCGTTTTTTTTTGCTTTTCTAGCCACGAGATTTGCAACGAAATTCCACGAAGTGGGGAAAATCACTTGTAAAAGAAATTTCCATTCTGATTATATTCATATAGATAATGTCCACAGGCGGTGTATATTGCGAAGGCTCTGCATATGCAAAACATATAATATTAGGTTGTTCTAAAAGTTCGTGACAGTTTCGGACTTGTTTTCGAATTGAGTTTATTCCAATGAGATGCAATTTTGATCAACAATATATATGTTACCTTCATCGACAACTTGTTGTGAACCACCAAACAGAGAATGATTCGCCGCTTCAGAAATCTTTTCAATGAGTCGAGAAAGCAGGGCCGGCTCATTTGACCGTGCTTTTGAAATCTATTCATGACCCAAAAGATTGCCCGATAGTTTAGACGCAGTCACAAAGAAGCTAATCAGGCTACTGATGACATGTGCCGAAATTCCGCCAGCCTGAGCTCAGCACTCAAGCATTTTCTCTTGTATACGTGCTGATTCCTGAGCTACGTTGAGTAGATAACATTACATTGTTAGGAGACTGATAACATTGCTTGGTTAGGTTAGTTATTTTCATCCCCGCCCCTTGGCAGTTGTCACAATAATGTGCGCCGGTTACCCATGGCGCGAGAGAGAACCCTTCATAAAGCAGACAAAAAACCCTACCACATATCAAAGTCTCACAGCCCTACCGAATTGACAGGATTGCGCGACCGGATCTGCCCTTTTGGGAATCTAGCCGCTGACGCTCCCGACAGTGATCACCTAGAGACAGACAACCACTCTCTATCCAGCTACAACGCTGTCCATCCAGTCCGTATTTCGGAAGAGGGAGGGAACTTCCAGACAGTACCCGCAAGGGCGTCCGTATCGGTCAACTCATGAGAAAAATTGAACAAATTCCAATACTTTTTTAAGGAAGCGAGGCCCTTCGCCAATTGTGCTTTAGGAACAGTAGAATGTAACGACTAGATAGCAAGATGATTCGTACGAGTTTGGAACACAGTAGGTCCAAATCCAAGGCAGGTGGCCTCTCTGGGCGATTCTCCCAGCCAGAAGTCACTCTAGCGAAAGCGATCGGGCCATTTCAACGCCGTACTGAAGTTGAGTTGGACCTGATGTTGATGGACCTGATGGAAAATACCATCAGGACCTAAATCAGAGAAATGCCGCTTGTGGCTCCAACCACGTTGTGGCTTGGTGGAGATTCATATAGCGAAGTGTGTCGAAAATGATGAATTTCAATTACCGTTTTGGATATGAGAACAGCGACTGCGAGGGACGGTAAAGAAGCTGTGGGATGCTTACTTAACACACTTCCCATAGACCACATAACTGAAATAGCTACGAAAAGATCTGATACGAGTTTCTAAAAATGGTCCGTTTTTTGGGACAACTCTAAAGAATTTCTGCTACAAGGCTTAACAAACATCAACAAATTGACGGCACCTTGTCTGATAGCACTGAAGCTGGCACACACTAAACCTAATCCTCGCTGACACGTTCCAGTGACTTTGGTGATAATGACTGTAATTACTCAGTAATCAGAGGAATGGAGGTCGAATAGAGCACGGTCTTGTAAAAACGGAGAACGGCGAATCCAGAAAACATGGGAGAACGCTGTACAACGTTTGCTATCAGTTGTCGTGCTTGGTCATAGTCAGAAAGCGTTGCTTGTGTTTCCATGTCCACACTGTACCAAAACGGAGCTTGATTAAAGACACATGGTACGATCACACATAGTTTGGGTGTGTGTGACTATCAGCCCCCAGCTGTCGAAGCGTAGCGGTTTCCCCGTCCTAACATGCGCAGGAATGGAGATACAGGACCGTGAAACACGCTAATTCCTCCATGCTCCGCCCAATGCAACTTTGCGGCGCAG